GAAATGATAAAGGCAGAGGTTGTTATGACATCAGCTATATAGTTTCTTGCAAACTTTTCCTTAGCAAAGAGCTAAGGTTTGAATATCAGTCTGTTAAAGCTGGAAGAACACTTAGAGATTGTTAGTTCAGTTTCACAGGGAGACATTGCAGTTCCAGTTGCAGAAGGAAGAAGTGACCAGTCTAAGGTCACCCAGAGGAGACAGCCACTGACACAGCAGGGGACAGAAGGCATTTTTAAAACTACCATTCAGGAAACCATATTTTCCCAAGCCGCAAGAGGGGGAAACACCATCAGTTTCTCCCTGGTTTACAACTCTTTAATGAAGATCAATAAACATATGACGCTAGTAGTTTCTAATTCTTGTTACTCTGTATCCCTGGAAACCATCCCACAGAAACAATATTAGAATTAGGTGATGCACTGTCAACCAAGGATGCGCTGGCAAATACACCAGACATAACTAACAAGGTATTGTAACAGCAAGGATACTGTGGTGCTGAGCCTCAGGGAACATTTAAAATGGTGAATTACATTCCAGCTCATGTAACAGGGGTAAAAGTACTTTGAACATGATTAAGCATGGATCAAAGCAGGACGTGAAATGAGCTGAAAACTATATTCTAGCCATAAAAAGCACAATAGTGAACATTAAACATTTAAGAAGTGATATTTTGATTTGCCTTCTTAGAGTTTCATGGAAATCGTTTACTAGATGGTCTTGGTCTCTTAAAAAGTCACCTAAGGAGAAAAGGGTGTGAAGGTTGTGACTCCTCCAGTGACATTCTGGCTGCTGGGTCCGCTGTGACTGCCCAGTCAGACACCCAGCTTCTCTGCCCTGTGCCGAAAAAGCCAAGGTCCCTGCGTGGGGCTGGTGGTCTACTGGGGGAGATCTCTACACAAATGAGGCTCTATTTTGTCAAACTGAAAACTCCACTGATTTTATGATGCCATGATATTGTGTGACACTAAGAAAAAAACCTGCCAAATAAATCACAACACAGACCACGAGGCAATACTATGCAGCATATCCCTCCCGGCTGGTAATTGCTTTCATTTCTTCTGAGGCATCTGGCGATTTCTCTCGCCTACAGAGGCACCGCTCAGCCTGTGCTAGGCAGTTCTTTTGCTTAATTTTATCAAACAGAGCAGTTTCCTCTCTGTGTGAACATAAAGCACTTGGTTGTCCCTTTGCAAGAAAATGTGAAACATGGAACTGTGGCCATGTCTTCAAAGACGAACATTTGCTTTCCCGGCACAAAAGGGAACCCTGCACTCTGTCTTTGCCTCTCTGCATAAGCAATAACTCCCTTTCCATCCAGAATCATACTTTCTGAAGTGATTTTAAATGACAATTAGACCCAACACATCTATCAACAACACACCTAATCCAACTAAAGGGAACGGCTATTTATCAGTTGCTGCATAACAAACCACTCCAAAAATGAAGACTTGCTAAAAATAATCTAATTAAAGCAATGGAATTGCTGAAAACAAGACCAAAAGTCACCTAACGAAGTACGTGTTTTTCCTCTTAAAGGAGGTCAGTCCTGGGTGTTCACTGGAAGGACTGATGTTGAAGCTGAAACTCCAATACTTTGGCCACCTGATGTGAAGAGCTGTCTCATTTGAAAAGACCCTGGTGCTGGGAAAGATTGAGGGCAGGAGGAGAAGGGGACGACAGAGGATGAGATGGTTGGATGGCATCACCGACTCAATGGACATGGGTTTGGGTGGACTCCGGGAGTTGGTGATGGACAGGGAGGCCTGGTGTGCTGTGGTTCATGGGGTTGCAAAGAGTTGGACATGACTGAGCGACTGAACTGAACTGAACTGATGTTCTTTAGTAAACCTGAGCATCAAAATCCATCCTTTTACCTTTTTTTGCTATAACCAAACTACTGCAGGAGGTTCTATTAATGTTTTCTTGTCTCTTGAAAGAAAGTGAAAGTGTCAGTCACTCAGTTGTGTCTGACTTTTTGCGACCCCATGGACTGTAGCCCTTCGGGCTCTTCTGTCCACGAGATTCTCCAGGCAAGAACACTGGAGTGGGTTGCCATTCCCTCCTCCAGGGGACCTTCCTGACCCAGGGATCGAACCCTCGTCTCTTATGTCTCCTGCACTGGCAGGCGGGTTCTCTACCAGTAGCCCACCTGGGAAGCCCTCCTTGTCTCCTAGCAAAGCTCTTTAAAAGCAATGTCTGGGACTTCCCTAGTGGTCCAGTGGTTAACAATCCGCCTACCAATGCAGGGGACATGGATTCGGTCTCTGATCCGGGAAGATTCCAAATGCCGAGAGGCAGCTAAGCCCGTGCATCACAACTACTGAGCCCACGCTCTAGAGCCTGCGATCTGAAACTGCTGAGCCCGCGAGCTGTAACTCCTGAAGCCCCGGTGCCTAGAGCCCATGCTCTGCGACAAGAGAAGCCACTGCAATAAGCCCGAGCACTGCAACTAGAGGAGCCCTGCTCGCTGCAATTAAGAGAAAGCCTGCACACAGCGGTGAAGACTCAGCACAGCCAAGACTAAATAAATAAAGTTAAAAAAAGAGTTATACCTGTTTGTTTTTTTAAAGTAACATCTGAAACTTCTCCCTCTCTTCAATTCTGCCTTAACTTATGAAAAGCTACAGACTACAGCAGTTTAGAACCACGCTACATAAGAGCCACCTGCAAATGTGTTTTTAAATCCCTTTTCCTAATCTTCCATATCTAAGCCTACTCAATTCTTTGTCAGCAAACTTTATTTCTTCTTCTTAAAAACAAAGAGGGCCAGGATGGAGGGGACACATATATACCTATGGCCGATTCACGCTGATGTATGACAAAAACCATCACAATACTGTAAGGTAATTAACCTCCAATTAAAACAAATAAATAAATTTTATTTAAAAAATGTAGATAGCACCAACTGCCTGACAGAGTTACTATGAAGCTTAAATGAAACAATGTATTTCAAACACTTGGTACAATGTAGGATCCCCCAAAAGGCTTAAAGCTAAGTCATGTCAGGAATAGTTCTAGTTTCTGGAGATAATAGCAGTAAATCCCCAATTTCATGGAGAAATAATTCTAGCAGGGAGAGACAGAGTAACTCAAAATTTTTATATAGTGAAATGGTAGGAATGCTAAGGAGAAAATAAAACAAGTATTTACATCAGGATGTGGGATTTATTCTGAGGGAGTGGGAAACCTTGGGAGCATTTGAATAGGCCAGGAATTCGACCCACTGTTCTGGGCTTGAGAACAAACTGTTGGGTAATTTCAAGGAAGTCCTTAAAAGAAGCTTCCAAACTTCCCTCCAGAACTATCAAGTCAAGCCTGGGAAAGGATGGGCCTCCAAAGATGCTGCCCCGTGAGGGTGAACAGTGGCAGGGAGCTGGGGAAGAAGTGGGAGCTGAGGTGAGGGGGCTGAGGTGAGGGGGCTGACATGAGGGGAGCTGAGGTAGGGGGCTGAGGTGAGGGGGCGGAGGTCGGGGGGTTGGGGTGAGGGGGCTGAGGTGAGGGAGCTGACGTGGGGGGAGCTGAGGTGGGGGGCTGAGGTGGGAGCTGAGGTGGGGGGGCTGAAGTGAGGGGGCTGAGGTGGGGGGCTGAGGTGAGGGGGCTGAGGTCGGGGGGTTGGGGTGAGGGGGCTGAGGTGGGCAGCTGAGGTGAGGGGGCTGACATTGGGGGGGCTGAGGTGAGGGAGCTGAGGTAGGGGGCTGAGGTGGGAGCTGAGGTGAGGGGGCTGAGGTGAGGGGGCTGACATGAGGAGAGCTGAGGTAGGGGGCTGAGGTGAGGGGGCGGAGGTCGGGGGGTTGGGGTGAGGGGGTTGAGGTGGGCAGCTGAGGTGAGGGGGCTGACGTTGGGGGGGCTGAGGTGAAGGGAGCTGAGGTAGGGGGCTGAGGTGGGAACTGAGGTGAGGGGGCTGAGGTGCGGGTGGCCGGCAATACATCACAGGGGCAGCATCTGCTGACCTCCAGATATTATGAGCAGAACCTTCACCACATGAGTTGGTAAAAGAAAGGAGGCCAATCTCTAAATGTGCTTTTCTGTGGGTCGAGGGGAGGGGTAAGGCAAGACCAACTACATCATTTGCAGGACTTAGTACAAAATGAAAATGTGGGGTCCTTTTACAAAACTTTAAGAATTTCAAGAAGTGACAGCAGAGAGTGGACAAGCCTGGGGCCCTTCTGAGCGCGGAGGGAAGGGGCAGTGCAGCCTCACAGGCCACTTGCCTATGAAGCGGGCCCTGGTGACAGGTACGCTACTTGTTGGCTTAGGAAAGAAAGATTGTGCTAAAGTGAGATTTAGGGACCATGTGTGACTTTAAATCGGCTTCCCCGGTGGTTCAAATAGTAAAGAATCCACCTGCAGTGTAGGAGACCTGGGTTTGATCCTTGAGTTGGGAAGATCCCATGGAGAAGAGAATGGCTACCCACTCCATTATTCTTGCCTGGAGAATTCCATGGACAGAGGAGCCCGATGAGCTACAGTCCACGGGTCACAAAGAGTCAGACACGACTGAGTGACTTTCACTTTCAGTTTCTCTGTGACTTTAGATTAGCAGGGATGTCCTTTTCTGGCTATTAAATTAGCCTAGATGATGGAGTGTCAGCTGCCAGTGTGGAGAGATGGTTAAAATCGAGGTAGAATTCTTTTCCCTCAAACTCTACTTCTCTTAAAATATTTGTTTATTTATTGCAATTAAAATATGCATAACATTTTAACCATCTAGAGGTGTACAATTCACTGGCACTAAAAACACTAGCAGTGTTATATACCATCATCTCTTTTTATACCTAAAGCTTTTTCATTATCCTGAGCAAAACATCTATCTCCATTAAACAATAACTCCTCCCCACCCCTCAGCCCCTGGTAACCTCTGTTCTAGTTTCAGTTTACAAGAATTTGCCTCTTCTAGGTGTCACCATAGAATTCTGAACTGCCACACACACGCTGTCTGTTTCAAACCCAAAAGGCCTATAATATCCGGTGTCCTGATAGCCCTTGGTGCCCCTCACCTGCATGTAGATCAGATCTACAGCTGCTCTGCAGTCCATCAGCCTGGCGTCGAGGGATGGGTCCAGGTACCTGCATGATTCAGGAGTGTTCAGTTAATTTATGACACAGTTGATGGGCATACCTGGGTGGGCATGCTCTCTCAACTGGTGGCCCTTGATGCCTTGAACCAAGGCCCCTTTTCCAGCACAGCCACAGTCCTCTGCTTGCCTAGTCTTCCTTTTCTGTTTCCCATTGTCTTTATATTGTAAGACTATTTAGTGCCCTCCAAGAGTAGAGGTGCAAAAAACAAGGCTTTAAGAAAATGGTCCACATGCCATTCACATCAAGCCCCAAGTCTTCATGCCCCCTCCCATTTGCAGTTCCCAGCATAGCCATCTGCCCTGTACCCACATCCACATCACCATGCTGTGCCCGGGCCGCCTCATCTCTTGCCTGAGCTGCTCCGGTGACCTCCTCACCAGACAATCCGCCTCAGCTGTGTCCCTCAGCCCCATGCTCCACATTCGAACTGGAATAGCCTTTGCCAAGGAACCTTTCATATGCTCATAGTCCCAGGGCTTAGAGCATTTACCCTGTTGGCCCCCAAGGCCCTTCGTTGGAGACCCCACTTCCATCCCAGTTCTATCTCTGGCCTCTCCCCTGGTCCCCACTCTGTGCATTCCAGCCCTGTCTTCTCTCTTCCCCCTCCATTCAGAAGACCACTCCCCTCACCTGCCTCCTTCCTGCACTTATCGGCCTCTCCCACAAGCCTCACGCCCCTGTCTCCTCCTCTGGTCCCTATTCCCCAAGGCTGTGTTAGCAACCTGTCCCCTGGGCTTCCTCAGCTCCCTGAATTTACCCTGATCTCTGCTCTGAACAAGCTGACATTACACAAGGCATGAAGATCCCTGAGTCCAGGGGCTGGGTCCTACTCAGACCCCTTGCCCCTCTGGACCTTGGCGAAGGGACTTGCAAATAGCAGGGCTTCGTGTTTGTCTAGCAGATCCAGGATTGCCAGGATGAAGTGAAGTTACAGGTACTATGTGAGTGCAATAGCCAGCCAAGACTGGACTGAAACCATCAGGAGAGGGTACGCTAGGGTTGGTCTATCGCCAGTCTGAAGGCAGAGTGAGCAGAATCACGGAGCTCAGCAGGGGAGGGGGAGGAGACGATGGGATTGTCATAGACCAGGAAAAGGATGAAAATACAGATGCTTGAAGATCAACTTCATTCTAGCGGCTGGGGAGAAACAACTGAAGCGTTCCTACGTGTATTCCATTGAGTTATTTCACCCCTGCACCCCAGGCGCCCTGTGTGGCAGAGATAACAACTGTTACACCAGAGATGGACAGTCCCGACTCACCCCAGACCGGAGCTCTGAGAGGCCACGGCAGGCCACCCTCTGGTCTGGAAGGAACTATACCATCTTTGGCAAGGAGCATCAGGGAATTGACAGAAAAATCCCTAAAACTCGACTTGGTCTCAACGCCATGCCTCACCTGCTGAGGATTCCACAGCTAGTGGTAGTTGACCTAGCCTCTCTGCTCCCACCTAGTGAGGGCTCCCTCAGGACAGAGGACCAGGACCTACAGGATCCTACCCCCAGACTCTCCCCTTCCAGTAAACTCGTCCTCAGCTGTAAGAGCTGAAGTAGGACCTCCTTTCCTCTCGATCCGCACGAGCAAAAGCAATCTGCCTGGATCTGAAATGCAGGCTGGTGATGGGGTAGACACTTGTACTTATGATCTAGAATTTATCTATTTAATGTAGACACAGGCAAAGCCCAATTTCCAATTCAAGCTTAAGATGAGGGACAGAATCCTCATCTCTTACGGAGTTCGTGGACAAAACAGTCTAATCCAGAGGGTTTGTTTTTTAATTACGATTTTCATCATGATTATTATCGCTATAACAATAAAAAACATGACCCAAATTTATTGAGCACATAGGATTACTTCATTTAACTCTCACTATAATCCTGAGACAGACTCTATCATTAATATTCTCAGTTTACAGATAAAGAAATTGAGGATTAGAAAGCTTCAATAGCTTGGCTAGAGTTATTGAACTAAACCCTGAGACACACATATTCAGATCCCAGGAACAACTGTGCTTAGCCACCTTTTACTCTGTAAAATCTCAGACAAAACTGCATCCTTTTTGCCTTCTTGGGGCTCTCTGCCACATATTTCAACTATTTCTCAGCATACTTTCGAATAGCAGTACATGAACTTCTAGCCTTGCTGGCAATCCTTTTCCAAAATTTGAAGCCACAGCCTGGAACTCTAACAAGGCACCACAAGGTCAAGATTATTACTATTCCTTGATTTCAAATGCCTTTCTTCAGAGCCTCTGTGTTCAGATTACAGAATAACTGGGCCAGGAGAGAGTAAACCAAAGAAGCTATCCAATATAGCCACAGCAATATACACTGGGAAATAGAGACAAATCCCGCCCCCATGCCAAAGGAGAGTATCCTGCTTCTCATTATTTTGTTCGCTTGTTCTGCATAGGGTGCCTTGTGTCTGGGGGAAATAAAAGTGTTTTCTGAAAAAATACAGCAGATTTTTCCCCCTAGATTTCATCTTGTCAATCTAGGAAAATACGTCTAGCTCTGGTAAATAAGCATGTATAATTGGAATCCATTAGGAAGGTAAGCCAAATATACAGAGTTCAAATTCACTGCAAGTTGGCTAAGTCCACTCTTTGCCTTTAGAAAATATCACAGTTCAACAGATAAATCAGACTTGCTTGTAATCATCAATAAAGTCCTTCAATTAAATAGTCATATATTCCAAAGCAAACCCTGCAATTCCTTGCCATGACCTGCTTCAATCCCCAGTCCCCCTACCCCCAGCCTTATCTTCATGGTTGCCATCTTTATGATAATATCCCTCAAGTTTTTAATCTGAGCTCAGTGAAAGTCATCCTCAACATCCTATTCTTTAGGACAAATGTTCTTGTTCATTTCCTCCCACCACCCTCCTTCAAAGCTTTCCTCTTGACCTTCCCCAAGCCTCTGCGCTCTGTCCAGCTGTTAGACTGTAAGCCGGATGTGGTGAGATTCAGACAAGTTCTTATTAGCAAAGCTGAGATATCCTGAAGCACTTTCTGTCATAATAAATGCTTACTCACCACTTCCTGAGTCCAACCTTGCAGTTTTCCACTTCAGAACTTCGAAGGCTAACATATGGGAGTTCAAAGTCTGCCAATTTTTTTACGACTAGAGAAAGAAGAAAGAATCTTACTGGTTGAAATACATACATATTTACATGCAGTGTCCACATACAGGGCTTTAAAGTGATAAAATAGAGCATTAATATTGGAAGGAATAAAATCACATATAATATTCTCTTGCGTTTGTATGGAATTTTTAACTTTCTAAAGTTCATTCAAAAAATGAGTAGCCTTTGATCCTCATGAAAGACCCGTGCCTTGGGCTTCCCTGGGGGCTCAGTGGTTGAGAATCTGCCTGCCAGTGCAGGACACACAGGTTCGAATCCAGGTCCAGGAAGATCCCACATGCTGCAAGCAAAGCAACTAAGCCTGTGTGCTACAACTATTGAGCCTGTGCTCGAGAGCCTGGGAACCGCAACTATTGAGCCCTCCCGCCACAGCTACCGAGCCCCAAGCCCTGGAACCTGCGCTCGGCAACAAGAGAAGCCGCCGCAATGGGAGTCCATGCATCACAACTACAGGATAGCCTCCGCTCACTGCAACTAAAGGAAAGTCTGTGCAGCAACAAAGATTCAGTGCAGCTAATAAAAAAAATTTTTTTTTAAACTTCACAGGTATTAAAAAAAAAAAAAAAAGGGACCAGTGTTTGAGTAGGGGACATTTTCACTGTGAAATTGATGAAGAAACTGAGGTCCAGAGAGATCCAATGCCTTTACCAGCAAACCACAGTTCCTGGTGGCCAAGTTAAGAGATTTTCCTAACTTCCACCTCCAAATCACCTCCCCAAAGCACCTGAGAACATATGTAAACTACTCAGAGGTAACATACTGTTTCACAACAACAAAAACTTGTAATATCTAAAAACGCACTGCAGAGAAAAGCAAAACGTATGGGAAAAGACCCTGATGCTAGGAAAGATTGAAGATGGGAGGAGGGGATGACAGAGGATGAGGGCGTTGGATGGCATCACCGACGCGATGGACATGAGTTTGAGTAAACTCTGGGAGTTGTTGATGGACAGGGAAGCCTGGTGTGCTGCAGTCCATGGGATCACAATGAGTCTGACAAGACTGAGCACCTGAATTGACTGAACTGACTGATATGAAACATAATGTCATTGGTCATTATCTCACTGCAAGTATATTTTTTAAAAGAATCTAAGAACTGAGTTATACCATCCACACTTTAAAGCAAATATTCCGTAACAAGGAGACATGATGGTCTGATGGGATCTGCTGATGCCCAGAGTCCAGCACTCCAGCACAAGGGGGGGCTGCGGCATGGCCGGTGGCCAGCAGCCAGGGCAGAGATGAAGGTGGACCTAGACAGCAAGACTGGGGCTCAAGAGCCACCAGAGGAAGTGTAGTTACTGGAATGAACTGATGTCTTGCTCCTGACTGCACTACCTCTCCGGAGCTGCTCACCCCCAGCGCACCCCCAGCTCAAAGGCACAGTGAAAGCGAAAGTGTTAGTCCCTTAGCTCTCTGCGAGCCCATGGACTGGAGCCCATCAGACTCCTCTGTCCATGGGATTCTCCACACAAGAATAATGGAGTGGGTTGCCATTGCCTTCTCCAGGGGATCTTCCCGACCCAGGAATCGAACCCAGGTCTCCTGCATTGGAGGCAGAGTCTTTACCGTCTGAGCCACCAGGCAAGCCTAAACGCACAACCCTCACCCCGTGTCCCCCCGCCACCAAATGTCCTGTCCAGGAGCCAAGAGCCATAATAGGGACACACACTGGGGAGCTCTCCTTGGGGGGAGTGTAACCGGCCCCTCAGCTGCAATCCATCATCTCCTGGCTGAGCGTCTGCCCATACCAGCCCACCAACTCAGGCTGCCTGCACCTCCTTCTGTCCTTCTTACCAGACAGCCTGCCCTCTTTGCAAAACTGAATGAGAAATAGGCCGAAGCAGTCCGGCAGCTCCTGACACAGTCCAATGTTGTGTGACACCGCCTTTAACCAAAGACAAGAAAAAGGGAAAAGTTAGGAGTGGCCACCTGTAAATGCCAATAAAAAAGAGCTTTAAGGGGGCAGTGGACACTAAGAGAACTCTTTCCCGAATCTAAAAATGGTACAAATTCATTTTAGAAAATTTAGAAATTAAAAAAAAAATACAGTAAAGAAAATAAAAATTGGTCCCCCTGCAATGGACATGAACTGGTCCCAGCTGAGACTGGTTTGTCCCATTTCACATGTGGGAGTGTCTTCCCAGACGGTTTTGCTCTTTATTGTCCCCTGGGGGCAGTAGCGGTTCGCCATGATCATTGGTCCGACTTGCCTGCCCCAGGGGCTGGATTACCAGATCCTGGGAAAGGGGATATTCCCCACCACTTGGCTGGCATATAAAAGTACACAGGATAATGTCCACTTGTGATATCCCAAGTCTCCTTCTCTCTGCTGTCTGCTGTGATGGTCAAGTCTAATTCATGTGATTTTTGCTCAGTGAAACCTCAGCACCTCTGTGTGTGGGGCTGAGTGTGCACAAGTTGTAACAGATTGCGAAGTCATCCTTTCCTAAAGTAAATGAAGGCACAGGCTGCCTTCATTTCATATTTCTCTTTGACCTTTACCTCAAACAGTTTTCGTTTCAACACAGATGATTTCATTTTTATCCAATGGTCACCACTGAAGTGACTCAGCAGCAGCAGCAGCATAAGGCTGTAACCTTGTAACATTTCACATCCATTCACCCTCCCTTAGCAGGAAGCTCCTGTTCCATTGGCCCTTTCCCTCTCCACTTAGCCAGCCCACCCCTCTTCAAGGTGGGGTTCCTGGGTGATTTCTTTGCACACCTAGTCTGAATTCACTGGACCACCTCTGCAACATATCAGGGTTCACCTATACAGCTCTGTTCATGAGCTGACCTTTTAACCAGAGCTCCAAGTTCTCAAGGTGGTAGTTGTATAAATGCTAGGCTCAAAGGGGTACTTTTCCTGTCTGAGGGGTGTAAATTGCCTTAAGAGACAAGCTAAAGAGGTGGATGGTATGAGTGGGTGTTCTTAATATAGCTCTGAAAATAAAGATGAGCTTGGGAACTTTTCACAGCTTTTACTCAATGTTTATCCTCATTTTCCTTTCTTCTACCTTACTCTCTTCCCTAGGCCCTTGCAAAAATAAGCAAACAAGAGTCCAAACCAAACCACAGGGCACCTCTCTGTGTGGGACTGAGTGTGCACAAGTAGTAATAGATTGCAAAGTCATCCTTTCCTAAAGTAAATATGACCCATATCCACTCAAATTAGATTCCTCTCTTCTCTGACTCATTCAGTGAAAACACCAAGTTTACACACCAAGGAAGATAGTGGAGTGAGAAGAAAGAGAACAGAGATACTTTCTACAATTTATAAAGACATAGATACAAACACTTTCTTTCAGAGGAGAAATCAGCACAAAAAGAGACACAATAGTATTTCCTTCTTAGCAAAGGTTAATGATGCTTCAAAACTCAAATATCACTAGTACAACTACATTAGCACAGATGCATACAAAATACAAGAGAGATTTTACTTTGCTGCTGGTCCTTAAAAGAACCCAGTAGGGTAGCTGGAGAAGTGATGAGAGTGGTGAAGTGAGAGTGGTAACAAGTATGCTTGAAAAGATGTGGACAATACTTTTTACTTACAAAATGCAAATTACATTTTATTTCAGCTATTGAATTTCCCTGGAAAAGAATGCACACCAGTGCCTGGCCAAGTGTTTGTTTTTGGACTTCCCTGGTGGTTCAGACGGTAAAGAATCTGCTTGCAATGTAGGAGACCTGGGTTCGATCCCTGGGTTGGGAAGATCCCCTGGAGTAGGGCATGGCAAACCACTCCAGTATTCTTACCTGGAGAATCGCCATGGCCAGAGGAGCCTGGCCGGCTACTGTCCATGGGGTCGCAAAGAGTTGGATATGACCGGGTGACTGAGCACAACACAGCATGAGTGTTCAATTTACCTTTTGGGGAACTCCTTTACTTTGTTTTACTGCCAGTGCCAAGGATGTCCATGCCGTGGGTTTGACTTTCTCACGCGCCAATGTGCTGGAAGAGGGGAAGCTCATTTTTCTGAGGGTGAAGTACCTCCTTCAACTTCTGCTATTAGTTACAAAGGGAAACTGGCCAAAACAGGCGGCACCATGGAACCCTAAACTCCCTGCCCTGTGTGTGTGCTTGGCCGCTCAGTCGTGTCCGACTCTGGCGAACTCATGGACTGTAGCCCGCCAGGTTCCTGTGTCCGTGGGGTTTTCCAGGCAAGAATACTGGAGTGGGTAGCCATTTCCTTCTTCAGGGGATCTTCCCGACCCAGGAATCGAACCCGGGTCTCTAGCATTGCAGGCAGACTCTACCATCTGAGCTACAAGGGAAGCCCTCCAGACTTACTGCCCTACTCAATATTTATTCAGCACTCCCTCTAATATCAATACCAATACCAATATTGATGAAGAACAATAACCACTACTGCTGACAGATCACGAGCTATTCCTATAATTACTTAGACATCAACTCAAAAAATTAAATAACTTACCCAGACTCAAACAGGTAGGATGGAGCAGCTCTGTAATTTGAATCTGGGATTTGTCCTAACCCCAGAAGATAAGAGACCCCATATTCCCAGCAGCAGCCAACTTCAGCTACAGTTATGCCTAATTTGGCCAGTGAGCCCAGTACGTGAAAAACATGTCAATAATGGTGTCTTCAGGCAGAGTGGCTGCTCTCCAGGTCTGTACAGGTCCAACCATTTCCCAATTAGCTTACGCCCTGCAGCTGCATCCCTGTCTTATGTGCCTGGCCCCAAAGTCTCTGAGTTTGTGGTCCCTAGACTATTACTGTCTTCTTCTGTTATTTGACTGTCTCCCACTTTGTTAGTCCTGGGAGGGCAATTTAGGGAACTGTGATTTGTGTTTTGGGGTCTCTCAGTATAAAACCCTTCAAGAGCCCTTGATGCATTTTAGAAAGATCATTCTAGAAATCAGTACAGATTAGCAAGGCTGGAAGCAGGGAAACTAGTTTGGGGGGCTACAAGGGCATGGGGATGGAGAGGAGGAAACAGGGAGGGTGAATGAATAGGAGAGAGACTTGGGATGTAATGGAAGTAGGATTTGGGGGGTGAAAGAGGAGGAAGCATAGTAACTTCTCAAAGAATGGCTTCAGCAGCTAGGTGACTGCTGATACCATGCAAATGGGTCACAATATGGCAGCCAAGAAAAGGCTGTATGTGGTGACTTCAGTTAGGAAGAAAGTTATAAAATTATCATTCTTGAGCAGGGCAAAATCTAGAGAAGGGGTACTTCCTAATCTGGGGTGCAAACAAAAGGGCGCAGGTGAGCTCAAATCTCCAGGCTGGGAAGGGGAGCCAGGATGCAACAGGAAGTGCCCAGGGTTTCAGGGTGAGGCAGGCTCAAGGGATGGGAGCCCAGCAAGGAGCACTTCCGGTCACCAGCTCAGAAGCCAGCCCATACCAGGACCCCAGCACAGGGATTTCCCATCCTTGGAAAGGTCCTAGAAGCTTTCTGACCCCCTCCTGTTCCTAGCTGCTTATTCTCCATTGAATATTTCTCTAGAAGGTTAGAATTTGTGAAAGCATTGCAATCTAAAATGCAACTGGAGGATATAAAATGGAAAACCCCCAAGTGTGCCCTCAAGAAGACAAATCCTTAGGCCTAAGAGGCTGATTTCTCATAAATGCCCAATTCACAGAAAACTGATTATATTGGATTTTTTTTTTTTTTTTTTTTAATGCTAGGGAGCTGGTCCAGGGTTGCCTCACATCAACCTTGGGAAATTTTGCTCATGGTTTCCAGAGACCTAAACAAGATATGACCCAGGTCAGGCTGGTCTCATGAAATAAGTGGAATGGAGCTTTGTTTGTGTGACTGGACTGGTTTTGTCTGCTCAGGGAATTTTCAAATCCGGTCTCTGTTTGTCTTGGTTTCAGCAGACTTTAACTGAACTCTCCCCTCTTTACCTTCCCAGCCTGGAAATACAGTCTCTTCCAAGCCCTCAGCGGACACGCCAGCAACCTCTCCAGTTTGCACGTCCCCAATTGCCAATTCCTCTGCTATTCCCCTTTACATGCATCTACTTGACAATTTTGAGATGCCTGATTTTACCTTCCTATTTAAGTTGACAAACTAAAACCCTCCGTAGCAGAGGGACCTGGGAGCCAGCCCGCGAGTCCTCTCCACAGCCCAGTCGAGGGAGGAGAGGCCACAGGGGCCAGGCTGGTTACGGCTGCATCTGGAGAAGGAAGAAGGCTTTCTGGGTCCCATCCTCTGGGTCCTTAGAGAACTGACTGGAACACAAGATAGGCCTTGTGGACCCATAATTATAAGCGTTGGGCACTGGTTTCAGGGGTTTCCCTGTGTCAGAGAAGGGAGCACCTTTCTGGCTTTAACAACCTGTCATTCTCTGCCAGAACCTGACATCAGTACCCCTGGATAGATTCATCTGGGCTCCATCCTCCATCCTGCTCCCAACCATGGACATCCCATAATAAAGGACCTTGAGTTTTTGCAGGAGGCACATCCCTGGCTGAGTTCCAGGGAACCAACACCAGCCCACAGGCGGTGGGGAAAACCAAAGAGACCCCGGAGATTGGCTGTAGCTGAGATTCCTCCATCCGTCACTCAGATTATTTCTCCATCAGTCTCTTATCTCTACAGACGAGTCATCCAGAATAAAATGACAGGTAGGAAGCTTCCAGAAGGTAACTGTATCCTAGTCCCTGCCTTCAAACAGAATGATTCCTAAATTCAGGTCTGGGGCTGGAACTTAGATTGAATTTACCTCCAGGACTCTTTCGGCAGTATCTGATGTTAGAATTTCGACTTTAATGTTCCTTCCATCGGGCAGAAATATATCCAGAGATGCTTTCTTGGTGGTGATGCTGAATGTGTCCTGTAAGCAGAAGGAAGCACAATAAGCTTCAGCACCCTTCTGTGGGGGGCAGTCGTCTCCCTCTCCAGGCCCTCGGGGCACACAGTGTCCAAAGCACATGAAAGCCGAGTGCAGAGACTTAGGGGGTCGGTTTAAGGGGGTGAGGTGGGAGTGAGGAGCGGGTGGAGAGGAGTTCAGGCAAAGCAATGACATGCGACTTGAATAATTTCCAGATAAACAAGGCATCTGTTTTAGAAAAAAACTTTTGATAAAAATCATACAAGTGACTCTTGGTCATCCCAGATTTTAACCCTCATTTTGAATATTTCCAGGCATCCCTACAAGTTTGTGATAGGCGGTAATTTATGCTCCTGCTAAACAAAACTCTGAAGTTGCAAACCATGAGGCCCATGTGGGGAAGCAAGTCTCCATCTGGTTGAATGCACCAGCTGAGGGCCCGCTGAGTGCAGCCTTGTCTGCACACTGGCATTCCAGCCTTCTTCAAGGGACCTGTGTGTGCCAGAGGCAACTGGGAATCCAGGGACCTATGAACCTCTTGCATAGAGTGTTCTAGAAGGTCAGAGACATGCCAGTGACATGAGAAGCCCATCAGAGCTGGGGGAAGTGTGAGGCTGAGGTTGGCACTCAGCGAGAGGGACCCCGGGCAGGGGAGGGACAAGGGTCAGTGGCTGACCACGTGGGACTCCCAGCGTAGCTGCCTCTGGGGGTGGCTGTTCTCAGCACCTCCTGAATGGGTTCCTGTCAGTTCACAGAACTGCTTCCTCTCTGGGAGGCTGATCCTGGTCACAGCCCTTCTCATCCCAGGTTCCATAATGGACTCATGCAGCCATTGCGTGCAATGTGTTCACTTCGCTCCTAGGCATTTAGGATGGCACTAGTAATGTGACATCCGTGGGAGAACTAAGAAAAGAGCCACTCAAATCATCTTCTGTGTTCTGAGCCTACTATGTGAGCCGGGATACTAGTAGTTAGCAATACAGTGGGTGGGGATGGAGATGGGAGAGGGAAGGGGAGAGGAGGTACCTCTTTTTAGTGACCAGAAAATTTCCAGCCAGGTCACCTCCTCCCTGGAATCAGTTTGGGGAAAGGAAGATCCAAATGACTGATCAGCAGATTATTGGGGATCATGGGGTTGGGGCTCAGGTCAGCTGACCAGTGAGACCCCTTCCCCTCACCAGGCAGCCCCTTCCCTTCCTTCATCCTCCTGACCACCCCCTGCAATTCACAGACACAGCAGATTAGGCACCAGGCTTTGTAGGGAACAGGGGAATCTTGTGACCCCAAGGACCGTAGCCTGCCAGGCTCCTCTGTCCATGGGATTTCCCAGGTAAGAATACTGGAGTGGGTTGTCATTTCCTTCTCCAGGGGATCTTCCCCACCCAGGGATTGAACCCGTCTCTTAGGTCTCCTGCACGGGCAGGTGGGTGATTCACCAGCTGAGCCACCAGGGAAGCCCAGTCACACTGCCAGCCAGCTCAAAAGGCCCATCACCTTAGTGACAGGCTTATTTTTCCTAATTTTATTATCCAAGGGCAAGCCTTGAATAATGGTTAAATTTTAACCACCCCCACTCTGAGCCCACCTACTTACAATTACTAAATGGCTACGATTCTGAACCTGAGTACTTTAGAAGATAAAGCCTGCTGTTTTCCAATTTTAAAGGGTTGGTCCACAAAACAGTATATGTTTGTGAATATGTTATATATACAGTCAACATGCAGAGATAGCATCTCATTTATGAGTAAATATAATATGTGTATTTATTACATATAAACCTATTGTTAGATCACAATATCAACAACTGTGCTCTGTGCTGCTTCACATATAGTAGTTAATGCAATTCTCATACAATTCCATGAGGAATATACACTTATTAAGCCCCCTTTTTCAAGATACTTATACCATTATATTCACTGCAGCACTACCTACAATAGCCAAGACATGGAAGTAAACTAAATGTTCATAAACAGATGAATGGATAAGGATATGGCACATATATACAATGGAATACTACTCAGTCACAAAAAGAAATAAATAATGCCATTTGCAGCGACATAGAAGGACCTAGAGATGATAAAAAGAGACATAAGTCAGACAGAGAAAGACAAATACTATATGATATCACTTATATGTGGAATCTAAAATACAACACAAATGAACATATCTGTGAAACAGAAACAGACTCACAGACAGGAGGTTGCCAAGGGAGAAGGTAGGCAAGGAATGATCAGGAGTTTGGGACCAGCAGTGTATGGAGAATGGATAAACAACAAGGTCCCACTGCACAGCACAAGGAACTACACTCAGTGTTCTGTGATAAACCATAACGGAGAAGAATATGAAAAAGATATGTGTGTGTGTGTGTGTGTGTATAACTGAGTCACTTTGCTATATAGTCTATTTTAGTCATTCAGTCATGTCCAACTCTTTGTGACCCCATGGACTGCAGCACTACAGGCTGCCCTGTCCATCACCAACTCCAGGAGCTTGCTCAAACTCATGTCCGTCAAGTCGGTGATGCCATCCAACCATCTCATCCTCTGTCGTCCCCTTCTCCACCCACCTTCAATCTTTCCCAGCATCAGGGTCTTTTCCACTGAGTCAGTTCTTCGAATCAGGTGGCCAAAGAATTGGAGTTTCAGCTTCAGCATCAGTCCTTCCAGTGAATATTCAGGACTGATTCCCTTTAGGATGGACTGGTTGGATCTCCTTGAAGTTCAAGGGACTCTCAAGAGTCTTTTCCAACAACACAGTTCAAAAGCATCAATTCTTTGGTGCTCAGCTTTCTTTATAGTCCAACTCTCATATCCATACATGACTACTGGAAAAACCATAGCTTTCACTAGATGGACCTTGGTTGAGAAAGTAATGTGTCTGCTTTTTAATAGGCTATCTAGGTTGGTCATAACTTTTCTTCCAAGGAGCAAGCATCTTTTTTTTCACGGCTGCAGTCACCATCTGCAGTGATTTTGAAGACTAAGAGAATAAAGTCCATCACTGTTCCCATTGTTTCCCCACCTATTTGCCTTGAAGTGATGGGACCAGATGCCTTGATCTTAGTTTTCTGAATGTTGGGTTTTAAGCCAGCTTTTTCACTCTCTTTCACTTTCATCAAGAGGCTCTGTAGTTCCTCTTCACTTTCAGCCATAAGGGTGGTGTCATCTGCATATCTGAGGTTATTGATATTTCTCTTGGCAACCTTGATTCCAGCTCGTACTTCCTCCAGCCCAGCGTTTCGCATGATGTGCTCTGCACGGAAGTTAAATAAGCAGGGTGACAATGCACAGCTTTGATGGATTCCTTTCCCAATTTGGAACCAGTCTGCTGTTCCATATCTGGTTCTAACTGTTGCCTTTTGACCTGCATACAGGTTTCTCAAGAGGCAGGTAAGGTGGTCTGGTATTCCCATCTCTTGAAGAATTTTCCACAGTTTGTTGAGATCCACAGAGTCAAAGGCTTTGGCATAGTCAATAAAGCAGAAGTAGATGTTTTTCTTGAATTCTCTTGCTTTTTTTAATGATCCAACAGATGTTGGCAACTTGATCTCTGGTTCCTCTGGCTTTTCTAAATCCAGCTTGAACATCTGGAAGTTCACAGTTCACATATTGTTGAAATCTGGCTTAGAGAATTTTGAGCATTGCTTTACTAGCGTGTTAGATGAGTGCAATTGTGTGGTAGCCTGAACATTTTTTGGCATTGCCTTTCTTTGGGATTGGAATGAAAACTGACCTTTCCCAGTCCTGTGGCCACTGCTGTATTTTCCAAATATGCTGGCATATTGAGTGCAGCACTTTCACAGCATCATCTTTTAGGATTTGAAATAGCTCAACTGGAATTCCAATACCTCCACTAGCTTTGTTCATACTGATGCTTCCTAAGGCCCACTTGATTTTGCATTCTAGGTGAGGCTCTAGGTGAGTGATCACACCATAGTGGTTATCTGGGTCATGAAGATCTTTTTTCATGAAGATAGTTCTTCTGTGTATTCTTGCCACCTCTTCTTAATATCTTCTACTTCCGTTAGGTCCATACCATTTCTGTCCTTTACTGTGTCCATCTTTGCATGAAATGTTCCCCTTTTTGCCTTGAGAACCCCATGAACAGTAATGAAAAGACAAAAAGATATGACACTGAAAGATGAACTCCCCAGGTCGGTAGGTGCCCAATATGCTACTGGAGATCAGTGGAGAAATAACTCCAGAAAGAATGAAGAGATGGAGCCCAAGAGAAAGCAGCACCCAGGTGTGGATGTGACTGGTGATGGAAGTAAAGTCCGATGCTGTAAAAGCAATATTGCATAGGAACCTGGAATGTTAGGTCCATGAATCAAGGTAAATTAGAAGTGACCAAACAGGAGATGGCAAGAGTGAACATCGACATTTTAGGAATCAGTTAACTAAAATGGACTGCAATGGGTAAATTTAATTCAGATGACCATTATATCTACTACTGTGGGCAAGAATCCCTTAGAAGAAATGGAGTAGCCCTCATAGTCAATAAGAGTCCAAAATGCAGTGCTTGGATGCAATCTCAAAAACGACAGAATGATCTCTGTTCATTTCCAAGGCAAACCATTCAACATCACAGTAATCCAAGTCTATGCCCCAACCAGTAATGCAGAAGAAGCTGAAGTTTAATGGTTCTATGAAGACCTACATGACCTTCTAGAACTAACACCCCCAAAAGATGTCCTTTTCATCAAAGGGGACTGGAATGCAAAAGTAGGAAGTCAAGAGATACCTGGAATAACAGGCAAGTTTGGCCTTGGAGTACAGAATGAAGCAGGGCAAAGGCTAACAGGGTTTTGCCAAGAGAATGTACTGGTCATAGCAAACACCCTCTTCCAACAATACAAGAGATGACTCTACACATGGACATCACCAGGTGGTCAATACTGAAATCAGATTGATTATATTCTTTTTAGCCAAAGATGGAGAAGCTCTATTCAGTCAGCAAAAACAAGACTGGGAGCTAACTGTGGCTCAGATCATGAACTCCTT